AATCTAAAATCTTTATTAGATTATAACTTCACATTAAATTTAGCCTTAAAAGACACCCTTCTAAAAATTTTTTAAATTATCGAATATTGGGGAAACTGAAAAACTTGTAACTTTCTGAAAAGCTCTTTAATTTCAATAGCAGGGCTGAAAAAGTAGTTCCGTATTTCCTCTTATAGAGCGCCCGCCTCCATTTAAACGGCCGTCTTCAATGGAGCGGCCCTCTACATCAGGGATGTTTCGGATCGAGAAAAAAACCGGGTCGGATGCATAACCTTCGCATTAAATTAAAAATAAAATTAATATTCATTTTTAAGTATATTTTGTTGAAAAGGACGTAGTTATCTTATTTGAAGCATTAGTTAACGCTTTCAAAATATATCAATTTAAAAATTTTGAGGAAATATATGAAGCTTCAAAGTATTTATTAACGAATCATTTTAAAAGAGCTATTTTATTATTACATATAAGGGAAACTAATTTAAAAATACAGAGACAAGTACTTCAATTATGGTTCTTTTTTGATTATGAATCTAATAAAATAAGAGCTGGAGAACTTGAAAGAATGAATGAGATTAATTCGAGAATGTGTTTTTGGGCATTTAATGTTTATTTATTAAATTTATATGCATCTTTAGATAAAAAAAATGTTGAAAATATTGAAAGTGTTCGAAATATGTTTTATGAATCAACAAAAATTGATGTAAGACGATTATTAAGAAAACAATTAAAAGAGTTTTGTTTATTTTAAAGTTTAAAATAATTAAATTATAAGTATTAAATAGGGTTGAAAAAAATATTTTTATATTGGTCGGGTTTCGGGTCGAAAAAAAGTCCGGGTTTCTAACATGAAGCCAAATTTTTCGGAGAGGTGATTTGCGGGATTAATAAGCAAATATATGAGTGATATAATAAGAGACAGGGATTAAATGAATTTGGATGGATTAAGAGTAATATCAGGGGATGTTGGTTCGGTAGCCCGTCCCAGCCCTGGTATTCATCAGTTTTTGACTTTACTGTCAGATTAAAGAGTAATTATCCAAATAGTCACAATTTATTAAAGACTCTCTATAGTAAGGTCGATTCCGGTCAGGCTTCGATCCTGCGGCCTCCTGGCAGTTATTGCTAGGCGCTTTCGCTCCCCACATACAGAAGCTCCACCACTGAGCTACCCGGGGCGCTACTTTATCTTTTATTAGATCTTAAACCCCCGCATAGTGAGCGATTTAAATTCTAGCCAGCTGGATCTTTTTCTTCCTTACACTATTTAAATTAATTTATCATAATTTTCAGTAAAACTTTAAATGAAAATGAAATAAAATACATAAAAGAAGGGGTTATTGGTGTTTCAAAATATATAATAAAACAAATAACTAAACATAGTGGTATTTTTGTTGATGGTGGATGTTTTGAACATTTTGGAAAGGATTGTTATTAAGTTTATAAGAAAATAATTGTTAAAAAACTGATAATTTTTATTAATGTTTTTAATTTATTTCGAGAATCAATTTACTTTTTTGTTTAATTTACATTGTGTTTGGCAAATGACCCTTTTTCGGTATTCTATAACGGTATAAAGAAAAAATACTGATACCGTAAAATACCTCGCAAGTATCAGTATTTTTTGAAAATTTTATTTTTATTCCGAAATTTATTTCCCAACAATGGGGGAAGTTGTTCCGATGACTGGGAACAATATTCCAGCAACGGGGGAAGTTGTTCCGATGACTGGGAACAATATTCCAGCAACGGGGGAAGTTGTTCCGATGACTGGGAACAATATTCCAGCAACTGGGGAAGTTGTTCCGATGACTGGGAACAATATTCCAGCAACGGGGGAAGTTGTTCCGATGACTGGGAACAATATTCCAGCAACGGGGGAAGTTGTTCCGATGACTGGGAACAATATTCCAGCAACGGGGGAAGTTGTTCCGATGACTGGGAACAATATTCCAGCAACGGGGGAAGTTGTTCCGATGACTGGGAACAATATTCCAGCAACGGGGGAAGTTGTTCCGATGACTGGGAACAATATTCCAGCAACGGGGGAAGTTGTTCCGATGACTGGGAACAATATTCCAGCAACGGGGGAAGTTGTTTCGATGACTGGGAACAATATTCCAGCAACGGGGGAAGTTGTTCCGATGACTGGGAACAATATTCCAACAATGAGGGAAGTTGTTCCGATGACTGGGAACAATATTCCAGCAACGGGGGAAGTTGTTCCGATGACTGGGAACAATATTCCAGCAACGGGGGAAGTTGTTCCGATGACTGGGAACAATATTCCAGCAACGGGGGAAGTTGTTCCGATGACTGGGAACAATATTCCAGCAACGGGGGAAGTTGTTCCGATGACTGGGAACAATATTCCAGCAACGGGGGAAGTTGTTCCGATGACTGGGAACAATATTCCAGCAACGGGGGAAGTTGTTTCGATGACTGGGAACAATATTCCAGCAACGGGGGAAGTTGTTCCGATGACTGGGAACAATATTCCAGCAACGGGGGAAGTTGTTCCGATGACTGGGAACAATATTCCAGCAACGGGGGAAGTTGTTCCGATGACTGGGAACAATATTCCAGCAACGGGGGAAGTTGTTTCGATGACTGGGAACAATATTCCAGCAACGGGGGAAGTTGTTCCGATGACTGGGAACAATATTCCAACAATGAGGGAAGTTGTTCCAATACCTTATAGGTATTGATTGCTCTTGTCTAATTTACTTGTCAAATGAACAGAGTGAACTCCCAACAATAACCGATACTATTCAGCCTGGATAGTATTTGTGATGGATATGGACGATGAACAATCTCAAACAAAAAGTATACCGTATTTATTCTGATAGAACCACATTGGTTCTATTTTTCAACCCTTCGATTTTTGGGGTTATATTAGAGACTGTGGGGAGGATCTCTCATTTCCGCTGCATCACTCTAAATCCCCTGATTCCTTGTATTTCTCAAGATCCTCTGATATACCCGATCAGATGCACTCCTCGGCAGTACGAGGGATTATTTTTATACCCTTCGATTTTTGGGGTTATATTGGAGACTGTGGTTCAAATAGAGATGTGTTTGTATTAGAATAAATACGGTACTCACCACCGAATTAATTTGTGAACCCTATAAATGATATGGTATATACTCAGGAAACTTGGGAAGCTTTAAAAGCTAGTTTCTCACAACTATATGAACAAAATTTCAGTGTATCCAATTCCCAGGTATACAAAATTGATATCAAGCACAGCAAATTTTGATGATTATTAAATTATAAAATATATTTTTAAGAATGACTATGGATGATTTAGAACATTTATTTTGCAAAAAAAAATAATTTTAAATAAGAAATAAAAATATGTAAATTGTAAATGAGGAAATAAATTTAACGAATATTTTACGATATAAAGCATTCTAAACAAATATTAAATAAAATTGTGTTTAACAATTAAATTTAGAATTACACAAAAGATTAAAAATAAAAATAAATAGTTTTAGTGATTCTAAATAAATAAATTTGTTTTTTTCTGGTAAAGATTGGAGGAGGTTTTTACATAGAAAATGATAAATTTCAGCGTTGTTAAGAAAACTAAAAATTTTTTGATTTAAATTTTACGTGGAAAATCAAACAAAATTCTTCCACTAAAATTGCATTTATAAACCCGTTGGGATTAGTTGATTGAATAAGCATTGAGTGTTCAAATATTCTAAATTCAAATATTCTAAATTCAAATATTCTAAAATGTCTAACAAAATAATTTTGTTATTGTTGGTTGTTGTTGTGGCTTCCTTAACAAGTTAATAAATAAAAATTTCAATTCAATCTAATATTTTCAAAAAATTTAAGCAATCCACGCTTTGACAGCTCTAGAACGTAATGTAATTCTTAATTGTCACAACAATTACCGTTCACAACTTGCATATGGAAGAGCACCTAATAGACAGGGATTTTTGCCCCCAGGGCCCGTAGAATAAATTCAGGGTAAGGGTTATTTAACCCCTACCCGAGGGTCAAATAACTCGCAACCCGCAGCATAAATTCTTACTCTGAGTTCAGGGTTAAACAACCCGGTAGTTTAACCCAAAACCCCGAGTAGCATTTCACATTGGTAGAATAAATTATTTACTCGGGTCAAATAACCCTCAGCTAAGGGTAAAATTGCTACACTGGTCGGGGGCAGTGTAACAGGGTAAAACGCGTCTCGATTGCTCTGTTCCAAAATATATTAAGTTTTCAAAATTTTGAAAAAAATTTAAATGAAAAAATATTTATGAAAAAAATTTTTTTGAAAATCCAATCCGGGTCTAAAAAATCCGGATTTTGATCCGGAAAGTTCAGTCCGGATGAGAAAAAATTAAAATCCGGAAACCGAATCCGGCATTTTCAAACTTCTAACTCTAATGATTTTACTTGAAAGTTAGGGTTGTTTAATGGAAGTTCAATATAGAAATAAAATTTGAGTTACTCGCGAGTTACAGTATACTCTAGTTTGGAGTAAAAATGCTAATTTATTCTACGGAATTTATTCTACCAATTTTACTCGGAACTCAGGGTTATTTAACCCAGGGTTATTTTACCCGGTTATTCAACCGGTTATGTTACCCCGAATTTATTCTACGGGCCCAGGAGCGAATATCAAGCGCCTAATTTATAATCCTGTTGTTGAAGCCTCAGCTACTAATTGGGCAGCTAGATGTTCAATAAGTCATTCTAATGGAAGATATGGAGAGAATCTTTACTTTTCGAGTGATCCTAGAATGTCAACAAGTTTGTTGTAGATTCGTATAGTAAAGCAGCTGGCTATAGCTATTTCTCTCCTTCAGCTAGTGCAAAAGGTTAATCTGCGACTGGGAGCGAACCAGCATCTTAGTAGACCGAACTAATGTGTTAGCCAATACATCACGCCGTGTACTGCACAGCCTTGGGAAATTAATAGCTATATGCTTTACAGTATTTGAAATCCTAAAAAAAGTTGGGGATACAAGGTTATGGGTAGATGTGTATGCCGGTACGGATATTGGCCCATTTAAAAATAAATGTTAACATTAAATGTTTGGACATAATAAATAATTGTAATTCCAAAGTGTGCCATAAATTTCAATCATTTTCACTTCAATTTTTAGCACAGGCATTGGAGCAAGCCTGTCATGGTTGGTGGAGAGAAGCTAAAATTTATGGAATACCCGGCAATCTAGTTTTTACTGATGCTGTATTTCGATCTGGTGTTGGACATTTTACTCAAATGGCTTGGGCAACAACTTCGGAACTTGGCTGTGCTGTAGTTAGATGTGGGGGAAGATGGCGAACTTATGTTGTTTGTCAATATAATCCACGGTTATTCTAATAAATATTTTTTGATATTTTTTAATTTTAGAGGAAATATTATTAACCAATTAATTTACAAAAGAGGAGGTCCTTGCAGTCAATGTGGGGCTGCTGGGTGTTATGGAAATGGACTTTGCCGATAATTGTAAAATTAATATCGAGAGTGAAAGTATGTTAAGATGAATGTTGAGATATTTAATAAGAATAATTATATGTAAATAAGATACATATGTATATGCTGATTTAATGTAAAAAATGTTGAATAAATACATGTTAATTGAAATCTCACAAGATTCTTTACCAGACCTGTGCATGGATACAAATATTATCAGGATGCCTGCGGATATCCGCCTGTATCCGCCGTAAATATCCGGATATGGATACCAAAATCCGTGTCCATGCACAGGTCTGTTCTTTACTTATAGAAAAGGAGGCTTTTTAAAGGTAGCTCGGAATGTCTAGTCTTTTGGAAGTTGGTATCCAAGATATAAAAATAAGTGTTTGCTGACACCTATTCCCTTCAGTAATAACCTGTTTATTTGCCTGGCAAGAAGCTTCTTTGAACATTCGGGCTATAGCAACCCTAAAAATGTCGCAATAGCTCTCTCGGTTCACATTTTATCTCTCTTTAAAGTATCTTCTTCATCACGTCAAAACCTCTTTATCAAGCCAATTTTTTATTTATCCATTCATTAATATATTCATTAAAATTATTTTTCAGTCACATTTTCTTTTTTTATTTCAATTTTACCACATCATCAGCTATATTTATTTAAATTTTTTAAAATTTATTTTATATCAAATATTCACCCTTCTCTTATTTTTAAGCCTTTATGGAATACTCATAACGGTAGAATGCCTTTAGGCAGGAAAATAATAAAAATTTGGAAAATTTTGAAATGAAAAACAATAAAAATTGCTGTTAAAAGGGTGGCAGTTTATTTATTTTTATAAAACAAAAAAATAAAAAATCATCATTTTCATTAATAATATACACTTTTATTGCCCTTAAGCAGGCTAAAACACTCGTGGGATTTTTTAAATAATGTAATATTAAAGTTTTTAAATGAAAAATAAATGTAAAAGCTTGCTAAAAAACTTTAATTATGGGAAATAAATATGTTTACATTTTAATTAATATTTTTTTCCTTTTTTCCTAGCTAAATAATAAATTTTTTGATTTTTATTTTTAAAGTAATTTTTCAAAATTTATTAAATTAAACAGAAAATATTTTTGCTTGTCCTAGTAAATTTAGAAAGGATTTTAGTGGAGTACTGTCTAGATTTCTTTTAACTTAATTTTACAATCTTTCTGATGATCCTCCAAGTTGGAACTAGTTCCAGATAATCGTTAGTTCCGTAGTTCTAGTTCTGGAACTGGAACTAATTAGTTCCGGAACTGGAACTGGAACTTTGCCCATCACTGCCTCCAACATATATTCTCATGCCGATCCTCCAACATAAATTCATTCCACTTCCAATCTTGGGGAATCAGAGCAGGAGGATCTCTCAAATGATCGCTATAATAGAAGCCCATGCCTATTTGAAGCCCACTCAATGAGGGGTATTGAAAATATAAGCCCAGGGTTTCTATTGGAACATTTACGGTATATTTTAGAGCTTAATCATTTTTATCTCAATTTTTGATTAAACAAAATTTACCGTCTAACAATCATATTTCCCCATTAATTTTTATTATTTACCAAATACACGTATATATTTTTAAACTATTTTAATTCTCTCACCACGTCAATTAAATAATAAAAAAAATTTATTAAAACATCACTCTGACAATCAAACTATAAAATCTTAAGGGAATTAAAGAAACACTCCCTCTAGTTACTATTCCAAGAAAAACTTTTTTTTTGAAAATACCGGAAATTGTGTGGCATTGGAAAGAAAAAAAATAATTTAGGGGTGTGTCTATAAAAAATAATTTTTTTAAAAATAATAAGAATTGAAAGAAAATATTTTTTAAAAGACAAACATTTTTTAAAGAAGCCTTTTATTATTGCGCTTTTACTTTTTATTTCTCACAAAAGTACTTTTAAAAAATAAAATTTTAATTAAAATTATGAGACTTTGTTTGTGTCGTAATATAATTACATATTATTTTATTTAAATTTTTTTTTGTTATTTAATTTTTTAAATTATAGACTAAACAATTTTATTTAAAATAAAAACATGTAAATTGGCTTGTACTTCGGGATGTTAAAGATAGGACCGAGAACAAATCTCGAACAGAAATCTCTGTCATCGAGGCCAAAATTTTTAATATATTTTTCGATCTCGATTCTAGTATGTCTATAAAAAATAATTTTAATACGAAAAATATATTCCGGTCCCTAAATTCTAAAACACTAGGTGGGTATCTTAAACGTATTAGATAAAGGCATTATAAAATATACCGTATATACTCTATTAATTACCCTGGGTAATTATTGTTTCGACCTCTCTCTGGAGGGGGTAATTAATCGAGAGGATGGGCTTAATTTTGGGTATATCTCAATAAATCGAAGAGGAAATCCATTTATTTTTTGATATTGATTCTTATAATGTTTCAATAATTAAAATTGACAACGATTTTTTCATTATTTTTGAAATTAGAGAAGGAAAGGGAGGGGGTAATTATTAAAGAGGGTAATTATTTGAGGGAGGGTAATTAATAGAGTATATACGGTATCTTAAAGGTATTAACTTAGAAGTATCAATTATCCATTCTTCTCTAATATTTTTCGTATTAAAATTATTTTCAAAGAATTAAAAGATTATTAGAAAATTAACATAAGGTTTCTGTTTATCTCTCAGACACTGCTACAAGTACGTACATGTTTTAAATATTTGCACTTGCAGATAAATATTTATTCTTTTAGAATAAATATTTTTTTAAATTAATAAATATTTAGTCTCGTTACTAGATAAAATATAATTTTAGATTTTAACATTAAATTTAATTATTATTTGTTTCAGTAAAATCCTCTATTATCAATAAAATCCTAATTTAAATTCTCAAGTCTAAGCCTTGAATATTGCTTCAATTTTTTTTAAATCTCTTTTTCAACTAAAATTTTCTTTAACAATAAATAATTTAAAATAAATTAACCAACACTTTTAATTTAAATAATTTGTCCTTTTGTTTACATTTTTTGTTGAAGATAATTTTCGAGAAAATGATAATAATTGTTAGTCAACCTAATAATCATCAATTATCCATTTTTCAATTAAAATTAAAAAATTTCAAATAAGCTAGCCGACCATAAATTAATTTCATATTATTTACAATTTTAAGAAAATAAGTAAGGAACAAAATAATAAAAGCCTTCTGAAAGCTACTATTAAATTCAGAATTTATTTTATTAAAAAATTGCATAATTAGCGGAAAATGTAAATAAAATATATCCATTTATTTTTTATTTTAATTTTTCAAAAACAGCTCATCTTCCATTATCCTAAGCTAATAAAAAATTTTTTTATTATTTTCTCAATAATTTTTTTCCATTCCATTTATTTTTCTAAATTTTTTGCCAAATTTTCTGATAAAATTTAGGACAGGGGAAGGGGGTAGATGATATTATCCCTTTTAATTCTTTCCATTTTCCTTAGTTTTTGTTAAATTTTTTCTTCTTAGAATGGTTAATTCATAATGGATACTTTAATAAAAAAAATTTTTTTTGAAATTCCACTTATCATAGTATGTTAAAGCTTAAAAAATGTTAATCTATTATGTTAAATTAGTAAATATATTTATGAGAGCAGGCCAATGTCCCACGAGCCCAATGTACCGCCGAACTATAACTTGCTTCAAAATTATCGAATCCGGGGCGCCCTGGTATGGTTCGATTCAGAACACAGAGAATTTTGAACGAAGTACCCTATATTTATGATACATAAGATTGAAAATTTTTTCTTTAATTTTTAGTTTTTTTGATTATAGGTTTGTTGATTTTTTTGAAATCTTTTAACATTTTTTTCTCTCCAAAAACCAAAAGGTTCTTTCCTATTTAAATAATTGAGGGACAAATCTTTTTTTAAATTAATATTTTTAGTAAATAATTTCAACATAATTTCAAAATCAAAAAATAATTTCAAAATCTACATATAATATATCAATTTACAAAAATTTTGTCATTTTATTTCGAATATTTTTTGCAATTATTATTTTTGTGTTCTTTAAGTTTTAAATAATTTTTGTTTGTTTTTCATTAATTTTTGGCAGGTTCAAGTTTTGCAAAGTACATTAACCAAAGGGCAAAAAATTGGAAAAATTCTAGAAGTTGATATAAAATAATATTAATCCAAACAAACAATCTCCCCCTCCACATAAAGCCCCCAAAAAACATCCCACGTACTCTCAATTTCTACAAAATCATGTTACTCTTTTTAATAAAGGCATTGTTTATTTAATACCTGCCTATATTTATTTAATCCACCAAAAAATTCAGAAAAAAATATTATTTACATGCAAAAAGATTGCAGAAAGAGAAGCTTTGTAAAAAATAAATTTCCGTTTCCTTTCAATTTCAATTAATTTTTTAAATTCAAATTTCAAATTTTCTTTTTATATTATTATACCACTCGCTGGATACAAATTTTATAGCCTCAAGATTTTTCATACTTCCCTTTCAGATATAGTATTAGGGCAGCACGCAATTGAAAAAAATTCCGCAACTCGCAATCCGCAATTGCGTGCAGCCCTGTAGAGTATCCAATATACTAAATAAAAGCAACTATATTTCATATTCTCTCGAATAGAATGCCACCCTTTATTAGCATGCCACCTTGGAAGGTAATTAAAAAATAGAAAGTCATGGCATTCTATTAGGGAGACTACAGTACCTTAATTTGGTTGGCCACTGGGTGGAGGAGCTACTTATCATATACTCCTATTTAGGATACACTCATAGGATTTAATTTTATACCCCTAAAATTTTTCATAATTAAACAAAGTTTAAGAAAATTATTTTCAGGTAAACACTACTAATTATCTCTTCTAAATTTAAATTTCTTCAAAACCCCATTTCGTTCATTCTTCCACGTCATTTTCTACTTAATTATCAAAAAATGCAGCAAACAGGCTCCTTCCTCTCTATCTGCATTTTATCCTTTTTGGCCATATTTTTGAGTTATGCTAATTCACAAGAATTGGGGTCTGTAGCTGTTAATGAGCCTTTACTTTTGGAGGAATTTATGCTACAGTAATTTTGTTTTTTAATTAAATTTTGGTGCTTTTTAAAAGGCAAATGCCAAAACGTGGAGCTATGAAGAAAGCTGATGTTCGCGATTTCATTGGGTCAATTAATAGTGCTTCCCGGCTTCGATATGGCAAGAGAGCGATTTTGGAGCCCGTGATAATAGCTTCTCCATATAAGTGAGGAAATTATTTAAAATTTTTTCGAACCAAGATGTGATTTTCTAAATAAAAAAACGACTTTCTTTTTTTGGCACTTTTAAGGCATTTTTTTTAGTTTTCAAAAATTTCTCAAATAATAAATGCCGCATATATTCTATTAATTACCCTCTCTAAAATAATTACCCCTGCTCTATTAATTACCCCATCAGGCGAGAGATCTAAACACCCAGTGTAATTATTAGAGCATACACGGTAGCTCTTTTGTGAATAAATTTGAATACATAAAAACACTCTCGAATAGCTACAATTATTCACCTTGAAAGAAGGAAAACAAGAGAATTTAGATTTACAAAAATTATTTTTTCTTCCCTCATCATTTACATATCTATTAAGTAACTAGACAACGTTCTTTAAAAAACATTAAATTTTGAAAATTAAGAAATAATTAATTTAAAATAAAAAATCACATCTAATGTGTTCCGTGTCTGGTAAGGCAGTGGTGAATTGGGCTGTGATTGATAGGACAGTAAACGTTTTTAAAAAAATAATTTTACACGCAAAAGCAATTTGATAACACTAAAAAATAATTTTGAGTGATTTGGGCAGTAGCCTAAAATTGTTAAAATAATTTACACATAAATGTACCTCTGCACAAATAACACGGCACCATCTATTCTAATATTAACCTGATATATAATTTTTGAAAGCCAAAACCCTTTTAAATATTTAATTTGATCAAAAAATATACTACATTTCCCCCCCCCCCCCCCCACAGATTACAACAAATGCTAGCTAAAAGAGCACCAAGCAACTACGCTGAGGCTTTGCCTGCTGGACTGCTTGATCAGCTTAATGGGGCTGAACGATTGAGATTTGGAAGAAAATAAAAATTAGAAGAGAAAAAAAGGAAAAAGTGCAAGAAAGGCAATTGAACTCTTTTTTAATTTTTGACAAGAAAATCCGTTTTTGACCCTCCGAATTAATGATCTCATTAAAATATATTTTTAATTAAAACTGTATGGCTTTTATTTAAGCTATTAAATGATTGTTTGAATTTTTTATTGAAACAAAAAATTTTTTTATTTAAAAATTTCTTTTAAAGTACGTTAACTTAACTTTAAGTCTTAATCAGTTCTCCTCGGCAAGGTTTATAAAAACAATTCCCTATCAATGTTTTACCATTTATTTTAGCAGTTTGTTTATTAAAAAAATACATTTCCGATTAAAAATAATATACAATCTACTCACAATAGTTAGAAAAATGCGAACAAAAAAACTGAAATTAGGTACTAAGTTTCAGTCTTTTACAATGTTGAAATAATATTTACGGTCGGTTTTTACATCATAACTATTTCAGGAAATAACCTAAAAATCCGACCGTATAATTATTTAAAAATATATTTCCATTATTTTCTTTTACTAAACACCGTAAAAACTGATTAATGGCCCTACCTTAAATAATTACCCCGCCTGAATTAGTTACCCCTCCAGCGAGAGATCGAAACAAAGATTACCCAGGATAGTTAATACAGTTTATACTAAATATGTAAAGGGACTACAAATTAAATTAATTTTAGAATAAATTTAAAATAATTAATAAAATGTCGGCTTCTTTAACCATATTTTTTAATAAAATTAATCTTTTTCTAAACAATCTATTCCAAAATGTTCAAGACATCCACCATCAATAAAAATTTTATTATGTTTACTTAATTGTTTTATTATATATATTGTAACACCAATAACCCCTTCTTTTATATATTTTATTTCATTTTCATTCATTGTACTGAAAATTTTAAGAAATTAATTTAAATAGAGTCTTTAATAAATTGTGACAATTTGGATAATTATTCTTTAGTAGGGTTGAGCGTTTTGGACCGAACCGACCGATGAACCAATGATTTATCGGTTCGGTTTCGGATATCCAAAGATTTCCCAAGAACCTACAACCCCTACTTTTTGGTAAAGTAAAATGAAAAAACTTAACTAGCAGTGAAGACAAAAAAAGTTTTATTTGATGGTTACCAATATAAAAATTTTTTAACCCTACTTAATACACTGCAACGTAAAATTATACGTCCACCCCATTTTTCGAAATTTTTTCGTTTGTTTTCGTCGTGTATTTACCTGAGGTGGGTCGGAACAGTCAGAGGTGTCGGAACTCGGAATTCCGACCCACTTCTGGTACTTACTATAATTTAGTAATTATTTTAAAATTTAAACAAAACTTTTTTAATTGTTCTCCTAATAAACGTTCAATATCAATAATTATTTGTTTCGAAATCATATCTCTAACGATTTCAACTTTATCAATTCCATCCAAAAATAATAAAGTTAAATTTACTAAATAAACATTAATTGCCCAGAAACTCATTCTCGACTTAATTTTATTCATTCTTTTAATTTTATCAATTTTTTGTTTAATTTCCTTTTCATGATCTTTTATATTTAAATTATAATCAAAAAATAAAAATAATTGAATTAATTGTCTGTTTATTTTTTTATTAATTCCCTTTTTAGTTATATATTCGAACAAATCGTATCTATTTACTTCATCCATTAAATGATCTGAATCTTTATATGATTCCTCGAAATTTTTATATTTATCTAATTCACAAACATTAAATAATGCTTCACATAAGATAACTATATCAGATTTATCATACACTTAATACAAAAATTAAAAAATTTTTTAATTATAGTTAAATTTTCTAGGTACTTATTTTCTTTCCCACCCCAGTCAATTTTTTTCTGTTAGAAGAATGTAGAACACAACGAGCTGTGTCGAATGGCACCAAAATCAACGTGATTGGACAAGTTTTGACAAAGTATGACATTAAGTAGACGTATTGGAGTCGGCGACTTGTGTCATAACTTGCCAAATCTTGTCCAATCACGTTGATTTTGATGTCATTAGATACAGCTCGTTGTGTTCCACATTCTTCTAACAGACTGACCATTTCATTCGTCTTTAACAAAAAAAATTGACTGGGGGTTGTAAAGTAAATAAGTACCATTTTCTATAGCTAATTTTTGGTTTTTTTCAGAGAAACTTTTTTGGTTTCCCCAATATTTAATTAGGTATTTTAAAAAATTTATAGAGGGGAATTTAAATATAATGTATGTATTTTTCTTAAAGTTTTTAAAGCTGAATTTAATGTCAAGTTTTATTCAAATTAAGATTCTAGATAATTTTAATTTATTTAAAATTACAAGGCTGTTCCGGTTCAGATCCACTATTAAATTCATTTTTGTCTTTATGAGCTTTTGCTATTATAGAATTATTTCCAAATTGTCCTTTTGAATTTGTTGATAAAATATTGGCTAAAAATAATTAGATATATTTTTTTATTTAATTTATTTTCAAAATTTAAAAACTATTTACAATTTCCAATTTTCCGATTAAATCCAATTTGTTGTTTTGGTTGAGTTTTTGATTGAAACTCGCCAAAATTTGTGTTTAAATCAGGAAGAGTTGATTGGACTGTTAAAAATAAAATGATTAAAATATCTTTGAAATAATTATTATTCCCACCCCCTCCTTATAGTAAGAGATAGTACTGGAAGTGCCGTACAAGAAACAAGATTGATATTTCTCAAAAAATCTCAGACATCTCTTAAACACTCGTTCCCCATTATCTCTCTTAATCCCCCAAATCCCTCTATAGCCCTCTTAATTCTCAAATCTCTCAATACTCCTCAAAATCCAACAATATTCCCTTTTAATCCCCCAAATTCTCAAATATTCCTCCAAATCCACAAATATCTTCAAATCTACCGATATCTCCTTTAGTCACTTAAATCCCTTGATATCCCCTATATCCCTCAAACTTCATAATTATCCCTCGTAGATATCCCTCTTAATCACGCAAGGATACCCTACTCACTGCGCAAAAGATGGAGTCAAAAACGGCAAAAATTATGAAATTATATATGATTTATTCAAAATTAGACCCGGCCTGGGTTTCCGGGTTAAAACTCCAAAATTTAATAAAAACCAAATTTTATGAAACCACCCGATTTCCTAGATAGCGGACCCAGAAACCCGTCCCGGGCCCGACCCTATGTCAAGCTCTACTTACTTTTATGATTAATTCCAGTAATAACACAAAATATCAACAAATAATTATTTAATAAAATAAAGAATATTATTAAATAATTCATTTTTTCAGACAATTTTAAATTAATTTATTTTTCTATAAATGAATTTAATGGGGGATTTTAAAGAGGCCGCCAAAAAGCACTTTGACTGATTTCATTATTTTATTTCATCATGCTTAATAAAAAAATAAATATTGCGTAATTTAAATCTTAATTAAATTTTCACGTGAAATAAAAAGGGCAATAATGCCCTTTATAAGTACATATTTTTAAATAAAATGTTTTTTTATGTTTTTGTTTCCAAGTAATAAAATAATGTAAATCGTGAGAACCTAACCAGAATATAGTAAAAGGATTGATCCAGAGAGCTCGTCAAAGTTATCCATGCCCCTCTGACTCGTAGTCTTAATCTTTAATTTTAAATTAACTAGGCTTATATTGAATCTAGCCGGATTTTGTCTGAGGCAGAAACTCATATGTCCGACTTGTTTTTGGAGAGGTAGATATACAGTCGTGGAAAAAAGTATGGAAGCGCTAGAAAATTTTCTCTTAATTTTTAATTTTTCATTCGAAAAATACGTTCTATATACCAATCGAAAGCTCTATTCGTATCTCAGTTGACATGTTTCTGCATTTTTTATGAAAATGAAAATTGGCCGAGATAATCCGGATCTACCGGATATACCAAATCCCACTTTTTCGGAAAAATTTTTCGGAATAAATTTAACAAACCCAAATGATAAAGCATATTTTTCTGAGTATTTTCCACAAAACCGCTTAGAAATATCTTTTTCCGGAGCAGAGATATGATTTTTTGAAAATGGCATTTTTCGTCAATTTTTGCAAAAAATTCAATTTTGAAGGAAAAAATGCGATTTTCAAAAAATCATATCTCCGCGCCGGAAAAAGATATTTCTAAGCGGTTTTGTGGAAAATACTCAGAAAAATATGCTTTATCATTTGGGTTTGTTAAATTTATTCCGAAAAATTTTTCCGAAAAAGTGGGATTTGGTATATCCGGTAGATCCGGATTATCTCGGCCAATTTTCATTTTCATAAAAAATGAAGAAACATGTCAACTGAGATACGAATAGAGCTTTCGATTGGTATATAGAACGTATTTTTTGAATGAAAAATTAAGAATTAAGAAAAAATTTTCTAGCGCTTCCATACTTTTTTCCACGACTGTAATTGCGGACTTTGGCTTGCGTGAAATTGTGTTTTGTTCCTTGTAGATTGCGTGCGAATTTTTAGGATTTTTGGAATTTTTTACTTCGTAAAAATATTTGTAATGTAATTTTAATTTCTGCAGTGCTAACAGCCCTAAAGGGAAAGAAGGAAACTCGTTAACCATATCATATTCAAAAAATTTTTTATTTCAATTTATTTAAATATTTTATTCTAAAAAAGTCTGAGCATTTTTCTATAAGCTTACGCCTACTTTTTGACATAAAAAATAATATTAAATATAAAGGGAACAATTCAAAAAAATTCTATCAAGTATTTAAAAACACAAAAACGAAACAAAAAAAGTAACAATTTTCCTAAAAAAATAAAATTATATATTATTTTATTTTCCTAATCCCCTCTCTTTTTATCCATTCCCGCGGTCCCCCAAAGAATCATTGTAATAGGCTCCTCCATAAACCGTTTAAAATGTTGTAACCAAACTGCACCAACTGCGCCATCTACAACTCGGTGATCACAACTGAGAGTTACTTGGAGTGAAGTTACTGCTCGATACCTTTGAAAAAAATAAAAATATTTATTAAAATAGTTGAGTATATCAGAAGGAATTAACTCAAGAAAATGAGGAATTGGAGCATAAAATCGGAAAATAGAATTTAAACCGAACCGAGGAACCAAGAAAAGCCTAAAAGAACCATTCCGGCAAGAGCGTAGACAGGCAGGCCCGTAACCAGGGGGGGGGTGAGGGGGGGAATTCCCCCCCCCCCCCCCCGAAATGGGAAAAAGGAAAAAATTTGGGGAAGGGCTGGGGCAAAAAAGTGAATTTTTTTGGCCTACGGCCTTCGAAATTTTCAAAATTTTCGCCTGCGGCGCTAAAAAAGGACGAAATCTGGCTTCTTGAGGTCCAAAATTCAAAAAATTTTCGCCTGCGGCGCTGAAAATCAAATTTTTGGCGCCTGCGGCGCCGAAAAAGTGAATTTTTTTGGCCTACGGCCTTCTAAAATTAAAAAAATTTTCGCCTGCGGCGCTGAAAATAAAAATTTTTGGCGCCTTCGGCGCCAAAAATTTGGCGCAAGCAAATTTCCCCCCCTCGAAAAAAAATCCTAGTTACGGGCCTGTAGACAGGGAATCGTCAATTTCGAGAGGGAGGCTTCAGCCCCCACCCCAGGATACGCCCTTGCGTTCCGGACATTTAAAATCGAGAATTCTATTCACAATACACAATAAACCCAATTAAAAAATATTTCTTACTTTTCTTCACTGCTTTCTTCTTCAGCGGGCACAAGTTTACGTCTAGCAGCACCAATCGCAAGAATACACGATTGCGGTGGATTTATTATAGCAGTGAAGTGGTCAACGCTGCCAAACATGCCAAGATTAGAAACGGTAAATGTGCCACCCTGCAAAATAAAAAATTGATAAAAGTATCTTAAATATTCAAATAAAATTTTAAGAATTTTCATTCAAAATCAAGGCTTAAAAAATAAAAATTCACATTTAAAAAATTGGGGAAAATGTAAAATCAAAAAATTTTAGAAGATATGGTTGGGGTGAGCCGGGGGGTTTTTGTTCAGTGGACCGTTTTGTGGGCGCGCCTCCAAAATAATTTTGCAAGAAAGCCCGCATCACTTCCCAATAGAAAGTCGATGGTCCTCTATTTTTGTACAGTATCACATGTTTTCTTGTAAGAAAATTTCATAAATAACCTGAAACTCGTGTGGCTGTAATTTTCCATCCCTTGCTTTAGCAGCAAGTAATCCAATTTCATATCCAATAGTTGCAACACCTTTTGTATGTGCATCAAATATAATTGGCGTTATAAGTCCAGAAGGAGTACTAACCGCAACAGAAACGTCAACACCCAAATGTTCTCGAATAAAACTTCCCATAAAAGAAGAATTTGCTTCGGGAACGCGAAGACAGGACAAAGCAGAAGCTTTGATAATAAAATCATTTATAGAAAGCTTTTGTGGCTTTTCGCCAGTCTTCTTTGCTTCTTTTTCTAATAAGGCGTTGAGCTTCTTTCGAACACTGAAGATTAAAAAAAAGTGAAATTAAATGAAAAAAATATTATTAACGTTGAAAAAATTTTTTTTTAATTTACAGATCAATTTGGGAAAATATAGAATAATTTTAGAAAAAAACGCATTTATAGGTGCATGTCAAGGACGTAGCCAGGGGGGGATTCTGGAGCCCCCCTCCTCCTAAAATGAGGAAAAAGGTAAAATATTGGGAGAAAACTCCATTTCAGCCACCCTGAAATCGAACCCTCTAAAATTTAGAAACTGGACGAGCACGAAAAACTAGTATCGTTAATCAACTAAAGAATAGTGGCAAGACTAAACCTTAACTAATATAAGACAAAGTTCCCCAATAAAATCGAGTTAATTGTAAGAAACAAGAAAGTCTCTTGGTCGAACCACTAGTTAATATTAAATCATATTTTTGTGTGTGTAAACAAAAACTGGGTTAAAAATTTCCCGACATCTATTAATAAAAATACCCAAAATAAAAATTTACTTACTCCATTAATTTGTCAATATACAATTCAGATGTAAGATAATAATGTGGAATTGTTGACTTTGCTTCTGCAAGACGTTTAGCAATTGTTTTACGCATATTTGACAAAGGAATATCGGTATATTCAGCAGTAGGAGCGCCACTGGGTATTGGAGCTTGTGCAGAGGCTTGTGACAAATCTGCAGCCAAAATACGCCCTCCGGGACCAGAACCAGGAAAAGACTTAAAAAATATGCAGTTAAGGCGAAAACAATTTTTAAACAAACACTCAAATCAATTCCTTGCTCCCCAGCAAGTTTCTTTGCTAAAGGTGACGCTTTTAATCGATCTCCTTTGGCCATAGTTTCAGGAGGAGGTTGAGTTGGAGATTGGACTGCAGGAGCTTGTTTTGTCGATTCCTGAGCAGCTGGAGCGCTGGCAGGCGGAGTCGGAGCAGCCACACTTTCATCGGCAGAAAATTCTTTAAATGCGGCAACATCATTTTTGTCTTGAACAATAATACAGAGAAGCTGAAAAAATTTCAAATAAAAATAAATTTATTAGACAAAAACCTTTCCAACAGGGACATCTTTTGAACCTTCTGGAAGAATGATTTTAGCCAAGTAACCCTCTTCTGGTGCCTCAAATCCCATCGTCGCTTTATCCGTCTCAATTTCACACATTAAATCACCCTCGCTAAGTTGATCGCCTTCCTTCTTTTGCCAAGAAACAATTGTACCCATCTCCATTGTTGGACTCAGTGCAGGGAATGTTATTTTGGAATGGTCTGGGTAGTCCACTTAAATTAACAAAAATTAAGAAAATTAATTTGAATGATAAAATAAAATATGGAGGAGTAAAAAAGGGCACGCGGACATATCGTGATGGACATATCGGGATATTTCTATGTACGAACAATTACTCTACTGATTTCAGGAACTACGGCCACTGGGTCTTTGATAGTACTATATTGACTATTGAGGAATAGAGTTTTTATGTTTTAGAACAAACGTAAACACGCAAGAAATTATTCTTGTCACCCCAATCCCGATATGTTCGTCCCAATATGTCCGCACACCGCAAAAAGAGAATATTTCCAGAAAAATATTTTTTAATGATATTTTGAAATTTTTCAGCAAATTATCCAATATTTTAGTATAAAAAATTAAAAAAATAAAAATTTATACATCGTTTAGAAGTCAAATGTAAGTAGCGAAAACCGGTATTTGGTCGAACAATGGCCAAACGAAAATGTAAAACCTGATGTGTAGAAAATCGTTGACGCAATCTTAGATTTCGCTAAAAAATAAAATTAAAAATTAAAAAAATAAAAACAAACCGAATAACAGGCTGTCAAAATTCTCAAAGCTCGGCTACCATTCATCATTGCTATTTTCAAATAAAAAACAAAAATCGACAACTTAAATATAAAAATACTAAAAGAAATCACAAAAAGAAAAATGGGCTGATACTTCAAGAAAAATTTTTTAAGAAAAGAAAGCTGAAACAAAATAAGGGGACACCCCAAGTAGGCGCGCGGCCATAACGGCGCAAAGCCATAACTTGCTTCAAGATTTCCGAATCTTACCAAATTTAGTATTAAACGATTCCTCTCATCGAGCTAAAGAGATTGGTACCAAAATTGATACGGGTCAGAAATTTTTCAACAAGTTATCGCTTTGCGCCGTTATGGCCGCGCGTCTATTTGGGCGTGTACCAAAAAGAACAGCTTGAGTCTTAATGTAAAATCAAATGATAAATAAATGTATGAATTTATATGTAAAGAATATAAATTGATAAAAATCGAAATTAATATTTTATAGAAAAATTTAAAGATGGAAAAAAAATATTTGCAGTCATCAACAAATTATTCAAGCTAGCTAGTAATTTTCAATGTGAATAATTTTAAGACTCTAGCGTTCTTTTAATTTAAAATTTATTAAAACGAATTCCCTGATTTTCGCAAGAATTCAAATAAAATTTAATGCCAACGTGTACCTTAACAAAAAAAAATTATTTTTTGTGGTAAATCCATTTATGGCAGAATGAATTTATAACTTTTTGGATAATATTTATAACCAAAATATTTAAATAATCTTATTTAAATGGCTTCAATCAAAGATTTATCAAACAAATTTAATGATTTAACAGGCGTTCCAAAGGTTTTTTTAAATTTCTTTTTTTAATTTTTGTCAATGAAGTACTCCCCCCCCCCCTCTTTATTATTTTTTCTCGAGGTATAAAAATGGTTAATTTTTTGAGGAATGAAGAACACAACGAGCTGTGTCAAATCTTGCCCAAGCGCTGATTTTGGTGTCATTCGACTCAGCTCGGCGAGCTCTTTCGAATGAGCTATCATTTGTTTAAGCTGTCGCCCCTATGGTTTTTCAGATTTCATGGGACTGTATCTCGGTCAAATCAAATCGGATTTTTTTTATTTAGGTGTCATTCCGCACAGCTGGTTGTGTTCTACATTCTTTTGAAAACTGACCATTTATACCTTGAGAAAGAAAAAATAGAGGGGGGGGGGTACGTAGTTCAACATTTAAATTCTTCATTCAGATATTAGATATTCTTCCTCTTGAAATACAAATGGATATTTTAAAATGTTTGGATTATAACCAATTAACAAATCTTCAACAAACAAATAGTCAAATATTTAAATTAATTAAACATTTTGAGAATAAATTGGCTCGAAGAAATTTTTCTGTTCTTAAAATTGTAATTTTTAAAATTTATTTTTTTATTTTAAATAAATATTTTAAGGGTTCTGATCACGACATGTTTTCTTATTCTGTTCCTATGATTAGATATCCAATTACAGAAATGGTTTCTGATTTTCAACCAAACAAGAAACTTGAGAAGAAGGTTTGTAATTTTTTAAGCTCTAAATATTTTGCTTTTTTTAGTGGGAAAATGCTTTAAATAATCAAATTCCAATGTATTTTTACCTTAACGAGGATGATAGAAATGTTTATGTTATTGCAGAATGTATGTACATATTTTATTTAATTTTTTGTGAAATAGTAAACAAAATTTTATTTTTTTTGTCTACAAGTTTAGCTAGAAAAGAGATTGATATGATTTAGTGGGTTCAATCTCAAATATTCTTTGAACTACTATTTTAAGAGCTGTTGGTTAATGGATCTTTCAAATTGTAACTTTATTAAAGTTAAACTTGTAGACAAAGATAGAAAGCAAGCTGGGTCTGGATCCAGACCTTGATTTTTCCTTGGCTCAAGGTCAAGAATCTGGTCAAGCAGGCCCGTAGCCAGATTTTTTTTCGGGAGAGGGCTAAATGGGGAAAATTTTTAGCGCCGAAGGCTCCAAAAATTTTAATTTTTAGCGCCACAGTTTAGAAGGTCGTAGGCCAAAAAAATTCACTTTTTTGCCCAAACCCTTCTCCAAATTTTTTCCTTTTTCCCATTTCGGGGGGGGGGGGAGTTATTTTTTAAATTTCTCCGCAAGTTAAAATACTTGTTTTAATTTTAGTTAACTAACATTTCATACTTTTTTTAAATTTTTGCAGCAAATACCTGCTTTTATCGCTTTGAACTTTTTAAATGGCCAACAAAAATAGATCATCTTATTTTTGCTCGTCACTGTTTTGAATTACTTTCTCATTGCCATTTTGATGAAATTATTTTTGAAAGAATTGTGTTTAATCCACAAATATTTAATTTAATTTTTGATGATCTACCAATCAAATTAAATTGCAATATTGCTAGATTATTACTAAATAATATAGATTATGACAATCAAGCGTTGGAAGTTGTTAAAAATAATTTGGTAATTTCCAAAATGCTAAGTTTTCGATTTATTTGGGCAGCTTTTACAACTTTATATGAGGTTGATAAATACATTTTTTTGAATTTTTTGTTGAATGGAGGCGCTAATATCCCTCTTGCTTCTATTTATTATATTGGATCTGCTATTGAACTTCACAAAGAAGTTATTAAGGTTTGGATTTTTTGTAGTTATTGATAAGGAAGAATGAATTTCCTATTTTCTTAGAAATCGGAGAATGGAATATTTAAAGGGATTGGATTTTGGGACACGCCCAAATAGGCGCGCGGCCATAACGGCGCAAAGCCATAACTATCTTGAAAATTTCTGATCCTTGTTAATTTTGGTACCAATCTCTTTAGCTCCTTGAGAGGAGTCGTTTAATACTAAAGTTGATAAAATTCGGAAATTTTGAAGGAAATTTTTTCAAGATTTTTTTCTTCAAGAATTTGGAAATCTTGGAGCAAGTTATGGTTTTACGTCTACTTGGCCACGCGCCTACTTGTACCCTTGGATATTTATTGACGAAGTGAAAATTGAAAAATTTTTTTTTTCTATGACTGAAAAATTTCAATATTTTATTTTCCTGTTCACAAAAGTTCCTCTCTAGTTTTTCCGATTTGTTAATCAGTGATAACGTATATTTAAAAAATTATATAATAATTTTTAAAGTTCGCCGAGACTTCATCAGATTGTTCAAAAATGGTGAATAGCATTGAATTTCAACGACTTGAGTGGTCTATGCCTAAATTTAGTTCGAGAGTTAAACTTATCAGACAAAAAGAATATATCAAAGGAGAGAACCAACACATATTTTTAAAATACGAAACTTCAAATGTGCATAATTCAAATTTAGTTTTTTATATTTTTATTTGGAAAGAAGTCAAAGCAGAAACAATACATCGTTTTAGAATACAAAAATTAATTCGTGCTTCTATTGAGAAATAGTTTTTAATTAATTAATTTTTTGAGTATGTATTAGAGATCGGAAACAGGTCCTTTCCCCGGTTGCTTCAAAAAAGTTTGCCGAGACTTCATCAATCAAAGGTCCCTTTTCCCGGTTTTCGAGTCCCGGTTTCCATGTGTCCCTTTTTCCCGCTTTTTTTTGAAGCAACGGGGATGAAACCGGGAACGGGAATTTCGGGGTTTTCCCGGTTCGGGTCCCTCCCGGTCAACTTTTGGAACTCGGTTCCTGGACCCGATTTTTTATTCTAAAATGCTCTTTTTCCCGATCTCTAATATGTGTAATTAGTTTTTAATTTTTTGTGCTAATTTTATTCGGAAATTATATTGTATTCCCTAATTATTCTTCCTAACATTTACTTTTTTTTTAATTTGGAGATCGGACAGCTTTTTTTGAAAATTAGGAAATTTTGGAAAAAATTTTTTGGGAAAATCTCGATGTCCTGTCTCTCAGAAAGTATATCCAACATTCTTTTCTTAACTAAATATATTTCCTAATTCCAATTCCCAATTAATTTTTTTTTGTAATTTCGTGCCAGAATTTAATTATCTCTAACAATTTACTTTAAAATAATTAATTTTAATTAAACATTTTTAATTAAAAAAATTTTTTCTCAATCGTTTGGTTTATTTGCCTTTAAATTATTTTTTTTTAATTTTTATTGTTTTCTTATTTTAGTTTTTAATATTTTAAATAATATTACTTTTATTCAAAAATGGCTACATGGGATGAATATCTTCAAAATCAAATAAATAATGATGGGATTCAAATGACTTGGAATGTTTTGCCTCATTCAAGAGTTGATTCTCAAAAATTGATTGTTCCTGTTGCTACATTTTTTACTCCGTTAAAGGTTTAGTTTTAAATATAAATGTGTAAAATATTTTGGATGACCTTAGAAAATTTATTTTTCGGAGGGTGCATGGAAAATTAATATCTAGCAGGATAATTTTAATTTAAAAAATTAAATTTAGGAAAAAGCTGCAGACCAACCTAAACAACCGGTAATGGAATATGATCCAATTTTATGTCAAAAACAGTCATGTAAAGCTGTCCTCAATCCGCTATGGTTAGTTTAATTTATAGAATTTTTTCCTTACAAAATTCTTTTCTACGATTTAAAATTCTTTCAATAATTTTTTACATTTTTTTCAAAATTTTAGTATGATCGATTACCGCACAAAAATGTGGATGTGTCCATTTTGCAATCAAAGGAATCCCTTTCCTCCACATTATGCAACTATTTCTGAGGAAAATAAACCACCAGAATTGCATCCATTTTTTACTACAGTCGAATACACACTTAGGGTATATCTTTAATTATTCTTATTCGTTTTTAAGTTAAATGGGAATTTACGTTTAAAATTCGATTTTTTTCGGGTATTCTCCCAAAGTCCGCAAATTTTGTCCGCAAGTTAATTTTCGATTTTTTTTATTTTTCAGAAGGCCACAACACTTGCACCTATTTTTCTTTTTGTTGTCGATACCTGCTTGCCAGCTGAAGAATTGAAGGCTCTAAAAGATGCACTTCAAAAAGCGATTGCTTATTTGCCTGCAGATGCTTTAATTGGGCTGATAACATTTGGAAGAGTAGTGGAAATTCATGAGCTTAATGTGAAAGGAATTGCGCGTTCTTATGTTTTCAAGGTTGGGTTTTACTTTTGTTTAAAAAATTTTTTTGGGTCTACGAAAGTTTTAAAAAAAATTGTCGGAAATGAGTGTAATAGAGATCGGAATTTTTGAAAAGCCTGGGCCTGCTCCTGGGTTCCGGATTTGATTTATTGACCTGGGCCAGATCCTGGGCCTGTAGTCCAGGAAAAACCCAGGAAGGTCAAAAAATGCCTAAGCCTGGACTCTGGGTACAGGAAAAACCCAGGCCCAGATCGTTATCTAGTGTGTAATTGTGTTTGTTTTGTGCTGCAGTATTTTTGTAATTTGAGTCAGTGGACATAAAAAATTGTGTTTATTTTATTGGGTTCAATATAAAAGTTCAATGAGATCATTTTTCAATAAATGAGGAATTTCTTAATAAATATATTTTTATTTTAAATTCATCCCATCATTATATTTCCTCCAATCCGACTGAATCGTTTTTCTGTAAATTCTCGTTGAATCCTATTTTCGGGCTGAAAAATATTTTTTAATTTTTTTTTTGAAAATTCTTTCCTATATTTTACCGTGAGAATGCTTCCTTCATTAAAAGCAGCGGCTAATTGACGTTTTGTCCTTCCATTTTGTATCTTGTAGTTATACATTTGTGAATCTGCTGAATTTAGAGGTGTTGGACGGCGTAACATTTTAATTAAGTTAATATATTCTGCTGTGTTTTTTGATGTAATAATTGGAACAAATACTAAATTTTCATTATTTTGTTGTTGTTTTGTAATGATGAATAGAGTAAAAATAAATGGAAAAAGGAAATAGTAGTTAGACATTTTTAATAGGAAATTAAGGTTTTATTTTAAGAGTAGTCAAAGTTTTGTAAATAAATTCTGAAAAATAATGTTGAGGAAAGGGTCTAGTTCATAAACTAACAAAAATTTCTTTTAAGTAGCCTTAGTTGAAAGGAGTTATAGACGTGGAAAATTACTAACAATAACGGGAGAATAAGGAAAAAAAACCCCCACCAAACTTATTAGTAGGATTGTGCCCCGTCCTCGAAGTCGGGGAATTTGAGAGATTTTTTGATATAGTAGGGTTGTTCATCCGTCAAAAGTATTAGGGTTGCTCCTCTCCCGTCGGAGAACAACCCTACTTATTAACTAACTTATTAAGTATTAAGCAAGAGGTATTTTTTTAAAGTCATATTTTTTAAATTGATGTTTAGTAAAAGCATGTGTTTATTTTAAGTTTAACAAATAAGACTTAAAAAAATAAAATAAAATTAGCGAATAATTTTGTTATCACATTTAAAAAATTTTTCGGAATTTATTCAACTAAATTTAAATGATATGAGAATTCCTTTTTTTAGATTTTTTTTTTTTAATTTTTAAAGATGTTTGTTTAAAAAAATATTTTTAATGAAAAATAAAAGGAATTTCTCATTTTGAATTAAAAAATGATAAGGGTCTCGTGGAAATTTTTTGGGAGGCAGTGCCACGAGGATAAATTTTTTAATCGCAATTTTAATGTCTTAGGCAAAACTTTTTTTAATTTTTTGGTATTGAAGACATTTAAAAATCTAAATATTTTTTTGTTTATGTTCTCCGAAAAAATAGAAGAAATCAAGGAAAGAATGTTTCTCAATATTTGAGATAAATTTTGTTAATGCTCAAGAGGCATCACAAACCACCCCCTGTCACATAAGCACATTTATTTGACTGGTTGCGAATGACACACAAAGTAAAACTCAATTATAGAAACATTCCTTTTCTGGGAGTTAAATGTGGCAGCTTTGTGTGCCTTTAAATAAATTGCATTTTTTGCTCGACATATCTAAATTTGGAAATATTTGCTTTAATTTAGACAAATATCCACTTTAATTTATTTGGGGATAAAAAAGATTAAAATAATCTAGTAGATTAAATTTTGATTAAAAATTGTGACATTACCAGACATTGAGTGAATTCTTTTTGGAAATTGTAATAATTAGAAAATTTCCAGGCAAAATTTTAATTAATGGATGGAATAAAATTTTTGAAATTTTTGGGATCAGGGGTGAGCGCATTGCGTTATTTGCGTTACATTTTGGACTTGCGTTTTGCGTTTTTTGAGATTGTCTCTTGCGCTCATCCCTGTTTGGGATTTCGGAACTATTTTTATCTTTGAACTTTCTTAAAAAATATTTTTTTATTTTTTTAACATTTGTTCATCTTTGCTTTAAAATTAATTTAAAATTCTATTCCTTATATAGTTCCCCTTTTAATTTAAAAAATTCTTCCTTATTAACACTAAGTATTAAAATAGCTTTTATGGCATCCTAAAAAGAAGCATGCAAATTTTGGGGTAATTCTATTTAAAGGAAAAAAAATATTTGGAAAAATCCTTATGTGGATAAAAATACAAAATATATAATTAAATAAACTAGAAAAAGGAATGGGGACAATTTTATTTAAATCAAAACATTTTTTGGCCCAAAAATCTTTTACTAAATCCCATTTTTCTATTTTGCATACATAATTATTTTAACGTGGTTTTTATGGTTGTCTTTGAAAAGATTTGTTTGTTTTTTCCTACCATGTGATGAATATTTATGTGTGTTTTTTAAAAAGAGACTGGCTTTGTTTAAAGAATGATAATTGAGAGTGATTATTGTTTAAAAGAATTTGGGGTATTTGTACTTTAAATATTTTAAAGATAATTATTTTGTACCTAAATATTTGTAAAAATAAATGATATTTAATTAGAAAAATGAATTATTGTGGAAATCAAGGTGAATAATGATTAGTTAGGATTTTAGAAAAATTGGAATAAAGATAGACAAAATTACGGAAAATTTTAAATGAAGTTTTGTAATAAAAAAAATATTTTAGGGCACAAAAGAAGCGAATCCAAAACAAGTTCGGGACATTATAGCAATGCAAATTGGCCAACCTTCTACTGGTTCTCGCATTTCTGCAACCTCTACACCAATTCCTAACCAACAGCTAGTTAACGGGATACAGCCAGCAATGCACCATAATATGCCTCCGGGTGCAATGCCGGTATTTATTAATTTTAGATGATTTTAAATCGCTGGCATAGAAGTTGGGAACTTTATACTTTAATATTTTTTCCTTACCAGCAAATTCCTGGAGCTATTCCACCTGCCGGTATGCAAAGACCACGTATGGGTTCTCATCCAACTCAACCTCCAATGCCTGGACAAATGCCAACCACTATGCCTTTGCCTCAAGGTTCTATTCCTCAGGCTGGAGGAACAATTGCAGCACAGAATTTGCAAAACAAATTTCTACAGGTGTCGTATAATTTTCTAAAATTTTTTTTTAAATTTCTATTGAGTGTTTGACGTATAATTTTCTAAAAATTTTTAAAAATTTTTATTGACGGGGTGTTTTCGGATTAAATTCTTCTAAAAAATAATCGAATGGTTTTCTACAAAATAATATATACCGTATTTCCTAAAATAGTACTCCCCCCTGAATTAGTACTCCCCCCTTAAATAATACTCCCCTTTGGAGGAGGGTTGAAAAATAGTACTCCCCCCTTAAATAGTACTCCCCCTAAAATAGTACTCCCCCCTAAAATATTTTTCCCCTATATTTGAAAAAAATCATAAAAGAAACATTGAATTATTCTATTGAGATTTACTTATTGAATTATTTTATTTATTCTGATTAGGGTTGTCGGTTTCACTTGATTCTTCGATAACCGAAACCGGACAGTTTTCGCTTACCGAAAACGAACTGAAATTTTAACCTATAATATGTTCTGGATTGATCAAGTGGGGTCTAAAAGTTCCAATTCCCCTAGTTCATCTCTAACTAGATCAAGTAGTATGGTTTGATAAAGGAATTTGAGAGAAAAATGAAGGATGAGTGTTCGGGACGCACTCATTCCCGAGCGTTCGGGACGAAACCCTACTTGTTATCACGCCTAAATATGGATATCCTAGAATTCGTAAGGATATTCGAAGAAAAAGAGATGTGGAGGATAACGGTGATTAATGCTGATAAATCCCTGGACACAGCGATTAGGTACATCAATTTCTCAGTGACATTGAATAATATCGGCGGATATATGCGGATTCGTAAGATTATGAGTCTGAAAAGATTAAGGGGGATATCAGTGTTTTTGAAGGATATCTAGGGAATTTGACACATACAAGTGTATTAACTGGTCGGGAGTTCAAGATGGATATAGTGGTAAATTTAGATATCTACCCTTAATCGATTAAATCCCATTATACTCCTCAATATCACTCCAAATTAACTAATATCCTTCTTGATTTTCCTCAATACCCCTTATTTTATGTCACTTGTGTTTAAATGTCCCGAAATTTGCTCAATTTTATAATAATTTGAATATTTTTTGAGAGCTTTTAATAATTAAATTTTTTGAAAATCCGGGTCGGATCAGGCATTTTTCAGATAACGAACTCAAATTGATTTAGAATTTTGAAATAAATTTTCTTATGATAAATGAAAAAAGGGTTGAAAAATAGTACTCCCCCCTGAATTAGTACTCCCCCCTTAAATAGTACTCCCCTTTGGAGGAGGGTTGAAAAATAGTACTCCCGGGAGTACTATTTTAGGAAATACGGTATTTTATTTTTACTGGGTATTAAATAGCTATTTATGGGGCTCATTAACGGGGCTAACATTAAAAAGACTAAGTGTTTATAAGTAATTTTTTATGAGTAATTTTTATGAGTAAACAACGGTTGTTTATGAGTTATTTTATTGCTACAAATTATTATATGGACAAAAGATTACTTTAACGGGATATCCCTTAATTTTGGAAATAACGAGAATGAATATATAATTAATAGAATAAGTTAAGATAGTCTTTTACTCATTTCCTTGTTGAAAAATAATTTTTTAATAAATTATAAAATAAGTTGTAAAATAAATACTTTTTTAAAATCCTTTTTTTTGCAGCCAATTTCGGAATGTGAAGTCTCTATTGGTGAACTCATAGACAAAATCCAGACGGACCGTTGGCCTGTCCCTCAAGGGAATCGTCCATTACGCGCAATTGGTGCTGCACTTTCAGTTGCGATTACTTTATTAGAAGTGAGTCATTAAAAACAATTTTTAATTGTTTTGCTAATTAACTTTTTTTTTAAATAAATTTTTGTTTATTAATTTTTTAAGGTAAGCTTTCCAAACACTGGTGGCCGTATAATGACGTTTATTGGCGGGCCTTGTACTCATGGTCCGGGAATGGTTGTTAATGAGGAACTGAAAGATCCTATCCGTTCTTGGCACGATATTAAAGAGGATAACATTCCGTTTATGAGAAAAGTGGGACTTATTGTTAGAAGATTTCTTTTCAAATTTAATTTTAGGCCTTTAAATTTAACGATGCATTAGCTGAGAGGGCTGTCAAAAATGGACATGCTATAGATTTGTTTTCTTGTGCGCTTGACCAAACTGGACTTTATGAAATGAAAGCGTTGTATAGTCAAACTAATGGTACTAGTTAATAGGGTTGTTCCCCTACGGGGGGGGGGGGGACGGGGAAAATTTTCGGGGAGACAGCGCCACAGGGGGGACGGTGATGGGGAACAACCCTACTAGTTAATAAAGGACTTTTTAATAATCTAAATTTATTTAAGGCATTGTTGTGATGGCAGATTCTTTTGATTCTTCCCTTTTTAACCAATCGTTCCAAAAAGTTTTTGAAAAGGATGGGAATGGTTCTCTAAAAATGGCATTTAATGCTTCTCTAGAGGTTTTATTGTAATTTGATCATTTTAAAATTATTTTTTAATTAGATAAAACTTGGAAATGGACTTAAAGTTGAAGGAGTACTTGGTTCCTGTTGTTCAGCCAACGCCAAAAATTCAACGGTTTCTGACACTGAGGTGGGAATTGGGGGTACTACACAATGGAAAATGTGTTCTTTAACGCCGAGAAGTACTTTTGGATTTGTTTTTGAGATTGCTGGACAGGTTATTTTAAATTTTTACTGTGATTGGTTCTCTCTTTTTGGGGAGGGACCTTTATTTAAAGATTTTTGAATCCAGATAAAAAAACCTCCAAAAATCGAGATTTTAATGCAGCTCTGATTTCGAAAAAATATGCGCGAAAATCATTTGTCTTTGTTTTCATTTTTTAAATTTTCCCTATTCTAGCATGGCACAGCAATCCCTCAAGGTGCTCGTGCAATGTTTCAATTCATTACTCAATATCAACATGCTGATGGACGACGACGTATTCGTGTTACAACAACTTGCCGTTCTTGGTCGGATATGGAAGCAAATAAACAGTCAATAAGTTATAGTTTTGATCAAGAAGCTGCTGCTGTTTTAATGGGAAGACTTGCATCTTGGAGAGCTGCAAATGAAAATGATTCTCCAGATGCTTTGCGTTGGTTAGATAGAAGCTTGATACGTTTGGTTAGTTTTTTTGTGGTAGGCTTCTTTTTTCCTTTAAAAGTCCCTGACCATTTTGAGCTTTTTTGTTTGATATATAATTTATTATAGGTATTTGGTCGAATGATACCAAAATCGGCCTGATTTAACGAATCTTACCAAATTTATGAAGCCAAATCCTCGCTGAGAAAACTTTTTTGTGCCTATGCAAGGGAATAAGATAAACGGTCACAAATTTGTTCATTTAATTCAGATGTCGTTAATTTTAATATCATTCGACTCACATCAGCTCGAAGAGCTCTTTCGAATGATATATAATTTGCCATAAAATGAGAAAGACAGGAAAAAATAAAAAGGAAAAAAGGGGGGACGAATTCCAAACTATTACCGTTTATCTTTTTTTAGGTCCAAAAATTTGGTGATTACCACAAAGATGATCCAGCTTCTTTACGTCTTTCAGACAAATTTTCTCTTTTTCCACAATTTATGTTTCACTTGCGTCGCTCTCAATTCTTACAAGTTTTTAATAATTCTCCGGATGAAACTGTTTATTATAGGTATTTTATTGTAAAAATATTTTTTTCTATAAAATCTCATTTGAAGGCACATTCTCTTTGAAGAGAACGTTTTTGAAAGCACAACAATGATTCAACCACAACTTTTCTCTTATTCATTTAATGGACCACCAGAAGCCGTTTTACTTGATACTTCAAGTATACAACCTGATAGAATTCTTCTAATGGATGATTTCTTTCATGTTTTAATTTATCATGGACAAGTATTTTAAAATTTATTTTAAATTTTAAAAGAAAATTTATTTTAGACTATAGCTGCTTGGAGAAAGGCAAATTATCAAAATGATCCACAATATGCTTCATTTAAACAATTATTAGAGGCGCCTGTTCAAGATGCTTCTAGTATTTTACAGGATCGTTTTCCTGTGCCGCGTTACATTGTAACGGAATATGAGGGTTCCCAGGTATAATATTATTAAATTTGATATATTTTGAGAGAGAGTTTAGCTTGGATTTGTATACAGACTTTGACTTTTTTAGATTTAAAGTCAAGGTCCAGACATAGATTTTCGGCTCTACTCCAGTTTATGAGTCCAACTGAACTTTAGAGTCCAATCAAAACCCAATGGGTGTAGGTCTCGAACATGAAGAAATATTTTGGAGCCATACCCCAACTTTTCAACACCAAGAAAAATCCAATTATTTTTTGATGGACTCATAAAATTCGATTGGACTCATAAACTGGAGTAGAGCCGACTTTTCAAGGTCTCCTAATTTCTCTGACTCCAGGCCAAAGATCTCACCTTATAAATTTTCTTTTTTTAAAAAATTTAAAAAAATTTTTTTAGGCACGATTCCTTCTCTCCAAAGTTAATCCATCACTGACGCATAATAATCCTTACTCACAGGTTTTATTAAAATTTATTCTCATTTTCAAAAAATCTTATTTATTAAAGGAGGGCGGTGCTCCAGTCTTTACAGACGATGTTTCAATGCAAGTATTTATGGAACATTTGCGGAAATTGTCTGTTTCAACTTCTGGTTAATTTTTTTAAAAAATTTGATGAAAATGTGAAGAAAATGATTGACAAATTTGTTAATTAATTATAAAAAAAATTAAAAATTATTTCTCTATATTTTTGTGTTATCTAACTATTGTAGTTTATTGGACATATGAAATATATTCCTAATTTATGTTTCATTAAATATGTTTGTGATTTTATTTTTTTAAATTAGTTTTAAATATATGTATTTAATAATTGATATGTATTTTTATTAGATTATATTCTGTTATTTAATTTAAAAGTAAAATTATAAGGGGAAATATTTTTATGAGTTTCTAATGCTGTTCTTTTATGTTTTCTTTTGTTAAGAGTTGGAGATTTTTTGCCAATGAAACATATTTGTCCGACGCTTGCTGGTTAAGTAGAAATTTGAAAAAAATTTAAGCTGTTAATTAAACTAAGATTAACTGAACGGGAATTACTCCCACAAATTATTTTAAAAATTACTTCTGCATGCGGGGCCTGAAAATCCCATTTTAGAGGTTATTCATAAATTCTCTATTTTATTTTATTTTTTATAAAAAAATAAAAAATATTTCTAAATAAAATTTATTTGTCGCACTTAAAAGTGCAACCATGTGCCCTCCATATGCACTTTAAAAAATATTGCGAGTCTTGTCTGGGGACGTGTCTGAGGACATGTATGCCCTTTTATTCAAACGAAATGCCGAAAAATGTTGCACTTTTATTTTAAAAAATAAAAAAATAAAGTCTTTTTAAATTACTCATTTCATAATTTAAAAATAAAATTATTTTTATTAAGATGTAATAGGGCAAAGGAAATTAATTATTAGATTAATTAAACTTTTTTCTTACAAAATTAAATTTTAATAATAATGAAAAATATTTAGAAAGAGATGACAAAATTTAAAATTTATTTATTCATTTTAAATATTAAATTACATTACCGTATTTACTCGAATAATTCCCCTCCCTCGAATAATTCCCCTCCCTCGAATAATTCCCCTCCCTCGATTAATTCTCCCTGCTACGGATGAGTTGAAACAATAATCCCCCACCCCTAAATATCCTAAGATTAACTGAACGGGAATTACTCCCACAAATTATTTTAAAAACTACTCTCTCATGCTGGGCCTGAAAATCCCATTTTAGACTCAATTTATTTTACCTTAGAGTCCGGCAAAATCGCATTCCCGGGATCCCGGAACGGGATTTTTTTTCAAAATTTTGTACGAGACGGGATCCCACGGGATCCGTACGGGGTCCCGTCCCGTGCCGATCTCTTTTTACCTACACGTTCAAATTTCAAAACTCGATTAATTCCCCTCCCTTGAATAATTCCCCATGCCACGGATGGGTAGAAAAAATAATTCCCCAGATACGGTAGATAACGCTTGACAATTAAAATAAACTAAAAAAAGTATTAAAATTCAATTAAATTTTATTTTTTCTAGGAAAATATTATATTTTCTCTATTAAAAAATCCTTTAAATAAATTTCCATGTTCCTTTTAAAATTAAATGGAATATTATTTATTTTAATTTTATTAAAATTAATTTTTATTCAAAATACTGAAGGGGTTGATGTTAATGAAAATGAGAATGAAATAAATAAAGAAATGGTTGAAAAAGAGTTTAAAATTTATAAAAAACTTCCTTTTGAAGAGGTGGGAAGTAATAGGAAAAAAAGCAAAAAAGGGAAAAATAGGAAAAACAAAGAAGAAAAGGGTATATTGAAATTAAAAAAAATATTTTTTTGGGGATTTAAGTGGGGAATATTTAAATATTTTTTTTCAATTGAATGAATTATTACAAGAAATTTTAAGGAAATTTTAGCTTAGGGGCGATATTGAACATAAAGATGAGGGTTGCCGGCTCGCTCGACTCGAAACTCGAAAGATCGGCGAGCCGAGGCTTTGAAGCTCGAAAAACTCGAAGAACCGAATCGGCTCGAACCCAAAACGGAAACCTTAATAAAGATTAAATAAGGGTTAATTTATCCGCTGCTTTAGTTTATTATTTCAGTAAACCAATATTTTTTTGCTAAAAAAGTGTAGAAATTGACCTGTAAAGATTACCAAATCTTTCAAAAATTTGATTAAATTTATTCCTTTTCCTTCAGTTATTAAAATAAAATCTTCTGATGAAGCTAAAGGTCTTAATCCAGAAGCTAGCCCTTTTACTCTTCCTCAGCGTCAAGTAACCAACAATGAATCCAATACAAAGTTATTTTCAAAATTTCTTTACTATTAAAAAATATTTTTTTGTTTAAGAGTTAATCAAGGAACGTCTTCATCTGTTCCCCAGACGGTATATTTTTAACATATGATAGATTTTTCCTAGTTGAGAGGCCCTTCTATTGAAAGGCCATCTCCTCTCTCAGAAGCAACCTTCTGAGAGGGGATCGGAAATAGAGAACATCCCCCCTTTAATTAAAGAAAATATTGCACAATTTAAACCTCAAAACCTCAAGACTATTTAATTTTTAAACAAATTTCAGCAAAATAATTCTCATAATGGCATGTCAATGCGTCGCCGACGCATTAGAAATCATCGAAACCGTTCAAGACAAAATAATCAAACAATAACACCTCAAATTCACCATCTTCAACCTCCACCGCCTTTCTTTATCCATCATCCACCAATCTTCAACCAAAATCCCTTAGCGCAAAATACTTCTGGCACCGGAGTTTTCCTTCCCAATTCTGGATTATATTCTTCAATCAATCAACATAACCATTCTCAACGTATTTATCACCAATCCAGCACCATTCCAATTCCAGCTCCGGCTCCATTAATGACCAACCATCAACAAAATCCTTCATTCCTCAACGTCCATCAACTTCCTTCAATTTATCAACCAAATTACCCTCAATTAAGACAACATTCTGGAATTCGTTTTCATTCTCAATTAAACCCTTATGCTAAAGAATATATTCCTATAAAATACCAGAATATATACAAAAACCCTCATTTTAACCCTTATCAACCGGAAACCTCAACTTTTCATCAAAATGGTAGTAATTAAGGGGTTACTTTCTGAATTAAAATTTATTTTTTAGGAAGTAATATTTGGAGCAACAATGGAAATGTTTAATTAAGTTGGGGGAAATTGTAGAAGAAAAGGCACTAGTTTGAAATAAGGGATAACTTCACTTTAAAAAAATTTAATTTGAAACCTTTTGTAGATTCAATCGGTTAATATTTAAAATGCTTACAAGTGAGAGTGCCTGGGAGTGTCCGCGGGGTGTCGGGATGAAATTTGGTAGACATGTAGATTATACACTACTTTAGTTGTGAAATTTCCACCATTTCCACTAAATGGTATCGTGGACCTGTCTACCAAATTCCATACCGAAGTCCCGCGGACATCCCAGGCAGTCTCCTTTGTTAACGAAGATTTAAGATGTTTAAGTGGGAATGTAAAGTTATAGCTCCGGTATCTCGTTCAGTAGAGAAACTGACGTTACTTTATCACCATAAACAAGTGATTGTGCCCTTATTTCAAACTGGATCCAATTGTGATATTAATGGATGTTAAAAATTCAAAGATGATTGATTTAATTAGTTTAGATTAACATAAAAAGTTTAAAATTATTTTAATAAGTTAAATTTTTTGGATATTTTTGTTATAAAAATAAACATTGAAGTATTTTGTTTATTATTAGAGTTGGAGGCCCGGTTCGAACGTCGGCCCGGTCGGCGAACGTCGGCCCGGTTCGAAAACCCCAACCCTATTATTATGACTGGGTTTAGATCCTTTAATTAATTTATACATACAGTGTATTAAGAAAAATTATAATCCACCTAATTTATGTTTTCTATCTTACGGTTGTCCAATTAATCTGGGCTTCTATAGATGATCTATCAACACTATGGGATATTATATCTACATACAGATCAGAGGTGGGTCGGAGCAGACAGAGGTGTCTGAAATCGGAAGAGATGGAAATTGGAACTGGCTCAGTAGTCGGAACTCGCAAATCGGAAATCAAAATTTTTTTTCGGAAATCGGAAGGAAAAAAACGTCGGAAATCGGAATTCCGACCCACCTCTGATACAAATCTTCAAGAATATTTCACCAAGTCTATTTTTATCGAGTTTTTCTCTTAAAAATAAATGTTAAAATGTTAACCCAATTTGAAAAAATTTAATTTTCATACACATTAGAAATGATTGAAAATTATATAGAAATGTTCGTGAACCACATTCATTTCTTAACAAACAAAACATATTTATTTATTTTTAAAATTATTATTTAAATTAATTTTAATTAAATTATTTAATTTAAAAAAATTAAATCAATTTTTTTTTATTTAAAATCAATAATAAAAAAATCGCATGCAAAATCGCGTGCGTTTTGCCCAGGACGCGAGCGTCTTGCCAAAGATAATGGAGGAGAGGACCCAAGATAGTGGAGGAGAGGATAGATACGTCGCGCGTGATTTTTCACTCTTATTTTAACGCTATTTTCTGTCGCTTGACGCAGAGCGAGATTTACTAAAGCATTAGCGTGATGCGTCTTTAAAGTGCCTTTATCGACACCATCTATCTATCCCCTCATCACTCCCCCCTCTCTCCCCTCCACTCAATTACCTATATCCCCCCATCCCTCCCCTATCCCTCTCTCCATCCCCCCATTCCTCTCTCCATCCCCCCATCCCTCACTCCATCCCTCCCCCTTCTCCCCTCCTCATAATCTTTAATTCTTTATAAAATAAAATGCCCTCTTCGCCTTTACTTAAATAATTTCTCAATTAATTTTTAACTAAAAAATAATTTTTATTTATTTAAATATTTTTAAATTGAAAAAAGAAAATTTATTTTCGGGGAGATAAAATAAGAAAAATGCGGTTGGATTCACCTAGAAGCATTTAAAACGCTTAGGGGGGGGGGTAAACGATCTAAAAAGGGAAAAAGCATTAGCCGATGCCCCGGGTGGTAGAAGCGCTTAGTAATCGCGCCTAGTAATTGAATCCTGCCCGGTGGCTAAACCTTTGCTCTTTAATTAAATCACACAAAACCTACAACATATTCAAATACTAAAAAACAATACTATGGAATTGGGGGAGTATACTATTAGAAATTTAGATTTTCGAATTATATAATTCAAAATTAAATTAAAAATTAAAACTGAAAATTAAGTAAAGCAGCTGGGGCTATAGCTATTTCTCTCCTTTAGCTAGTGCAAAAGGTTATTCAGCGGCTGGAAGCGAACCAGCATCTTCAGTAGACCGGACTGATGTGTTAGCCATTACACCATGCCGCCTAGTGCGCAGCCTTAGGAATTAAATAGCTATATGCTTTACACTTATTAGAGGATAAATTTTTTATTTTGTTAATTTCTCTAACTTGAATTAAAATTTTTTTTAATTATCTTGAAAGGTAAAGAATTTAAAATGAACAACCAAAAATTCTTTAAAACTTTTGTTCTCTTTTTATTTTTTCTAAATTTTATAGAACTTGAAGGAGCACCGCCACCTCCAGGTGTATTTAATTATATTCAGGAAACCCGAAAATTGTGATTTAAAAATTAAAAAAGGGGTGCCTGGGGAGCGATGTTTTATAAATAAAATTTAATTTATCAGAGTAAAGTTAATTTATTGAATAAATTAAATAATTAATTTAAAAGTTTAACGATTTAGGAGGTAATTATACTGAATTTATAAAATATGAATTACGTATTAATTTTTTCCATAAGAAATACATAAATAAATATGGACATCTTAATTCGAGAATTATTATTTTTATAAATTCAGTTAACACATTTTTACTAGAGTTGATCAAAACGATACTGGTATCGGCCAACCCGAGACCGAGATTGACCGATACTCAAGAACCCGATACCGAGACCGATACTATCATTTTGAGCCGAGACCGATACCGAGAAACGATACTGACCGAGACTAACAAAAATTTTTATTTTATGTCAAAAAATACGTGTAAAAATAATTTATTCATTATTTTCATCATCCAACTCATCAGATAAATACTCTTCATTATCTGGATTCGATCAGGCTTGGCAATGGATACTAATTTTTGTGTCCTTATCCGAATAGGTATATTCGTGAGGTCGACACCCGTATCCGATTATATCCTTACAACTTTTGAGGCATAACCATCCGCGGGTATCCGCGGATGGTTAACCAAACCTTTATTTCAGCGCCGCAGGCAAAAATTTTTAGAATTTTAGAAGTGCAAGTCAACGGATTTCTTCCAATTTTCAGCGCCGCAGGCGAAAATTTGTAGTTTTGGAAGGCCAAGAAGCCAGAATTTTTTCTATTTTCAGCGCCGCAGACAAAAATTTGAGAATTTTGGAAGGCCTCAGCCCTCAGATACGCAAACTCAATGCGCTCATCCCTGCTTCCGATCATTTTAAATCCTCTTAATCCACTGGTGGGAACAACAGTTGCCGAAAATCGCAAGGCTCTGTAATCAAAATCTTGAAAATCTAACGGGCGAGGGCTTGGAAAATTCAACATTTCAGCGCCGTAGATGAAAATTTATTAAATTTTGGAAGGCCAAGTCACCAAATTTTTTCCTGTTTCAGCGCCGCAGGCGAAAATTTTTTGAATTTTAGAAGACCTTATTCGAAAAAAATTCACTTTCTCTGTTATGGACGGATAATCGAAAAAAATTATGGACGAAAACTTGGACAATATTGAGAATTTTGTTTCTTTGAGTCAGTATCGTTTCTCGCCGAGAAATGGACCGAGATTATCGGTATCGGTTTCGAGACCGAGAATAAAAAAACCAAGACCGATATTGGAAAAAAGCCGAGAATCTCGGTATCGGTCTCGTCTTGATCAACTCTAATTTTTACATATTTTTTAATCTAGGTCATGGAGTTATGGGAACATATCAAGTAAATCACCAAATGTTTCCTAATCACATACCTGCAATACATCCATATGATTATCAACCAAACCCACAATTCCAAAATTATCCATACAAACAACTACAACCAATTTATCAACAACAGTAAGATTAATAATTGATAAATAAAATTTGTGTAATATTTATGTTTATGGGCAATCCGGCGAGTTGTGCAACTTTTTTAATAGAGACAACACTAATATGTTGCCTCTATTACTGGGCACATATCGAAAGGATCGAATAAATAATCATTTCACAAGTCTATAGAAATTATTGTCTTTAAACATATTTTTCATCTAAATAAATATCTCAGACACTCCTTTATTGACCGATTGAACCAGGCAACTAATGTGAAATTGAGGTAGAAGAATCTGATCATTACGAGAAAGAAAAAAGGACCTAAAACATAATTATTACCCAGATTGGTAATTTCGTATTTTTATTAAGGCCAATTGGACGGAAAGGTACGGGTGTTTTCCTGCCTGCTAAACCTGGTACTGGTGTTTTCCTGCCACAAGCCCCTACTAAACCTGGTACTGGTGTTCCTCCGAAAAGAAGGTAGAATATGAATAATTATTAAAGCTGTGATTTTTAGTTATAATAATAGCAAAAAGCGTGGAGGAGAATCTTCAACATCCTTGGGACAACTAGTTCAAGGTAATAAAGCTACTACACCCAACCTTATTAACAATTTAAATACAAATTTTTATAAAGATCCATGGAACATGGAAAACATAAAAACACCATCATCAAGTCCCAAACACCCCGAAGCAACAGGAAGCGATGAAAAAGGTAGACAATACATACCGTATTTACTCGATTAATTCCCCACACTCAAATAATTCCCCTCACTTGAATAATTCCCCATTCCACGGACGGGTTGAAAAAATAATTCCCCGGGGGAATTAATCGAGTAAATACGGTAATTGCAAAAATATCAACTAAATTTGAAATAAAAAATCTCCGGGGTTTCGAGTTTAAATCTAAACATCGTGTTTAAAATCATCAATCGAAACGTCTAGAATGTTCGAAAATCCTCGTGTGATCTAATTTTTAATTATCAAGAATATATGTAATTTTTTAAAATTGTTTTAAATTTTCAGACGCTTACTACCATTTGCCAAGTGACTTCCATGATTGGGAATGAACAGA